GTCGACCTTTTGGTTACCAGTCTAGTGCACTATATCCTACAGCACCATGCCAGGATTATATTGTTTTTATTAAGTGCTATCGAGTTAGTTTGAATTAATAGTGACCCCGTATAGTTTCCTAGGAGTGGCTATTGAGTTTGAACTGTTGACCTTGTGGTTTGTGCTTATCCTACAGCACCATACCAGGACTTCACACTAGAGCTACAGAGAGGTTTATTCAGTAGATGATAATGGTAGGTAGTAAGTCTATAGTAGGTCATAAAATGTGAAAAACAGTGGAAAGCATAGAAAAAAATTACATTTACCACTGTACAGGTTTTTCCACACCATGAACAGTACCACACTTTGTCAAACCTTTCTAATTTTATGATACTATTAATTTTATCATTTAAATTCTAACTATACTAATTCTCTGGCAGCCTAGTGGTTATGAATCGGGCTGCGAATCTTAAGGCCAGCAGTTCGAAACTAACAGCTGTTCTGCGGGAGAAAGATGAGGCTTTCTGCTCCCGTAAAGATTTGCAGCCTCGGAAACCCTGTACAGGGTCACTATGAGTCGGAACCGACTCCACGGCATGTAACAACAACAACATACTAATTCAAATAGAAATTGGGATATTTAGTGAATATATAGCTCTTTTCGTCTAACATATTCCCACAATTTTCCACTTGTCAAGAAGTGGGGAAACAGTGGCCTAGTTAGAGCACCAGCTGAGAAGTTGGAGAAGGCAAAGAGAAACAGGTAATCAGGTAAAACTCGAGACAATGGGTGGTTCTTGCTCTAGAGGCATACTAAACACATGCAGAAGAAGTAAAGCCCAGAAACCAAAAGGATTGTTAGAAAGAAAACCAGAGATGCAAAAGGCCAGAGATTAGTTTTGAAATTAACTATTTAGGTACCTGGTGTGACGCTGTAGGATAAGCACTGAACCACAAGGTCAGTTTTAACCACAAGGCTGTTGTTGTTATGTGCCGTGGAGTCTATTCCGACTCATAGCGACCCTGTACAAGGTTTCCGAGACTGTAAATCTTTACGGGAGCAGAAAGCCTCATCTTTCTCCCGCGGAACAGCTGGTAGTTTTGAACTGCTGACTGTGAGATTAGCAGCCCAATTCGTAACCACTATGCTACCAGGCTGTTCAAATTCACCAGAACTAACTCAACGGCACTTAACAACAACAATGTTGCCCAAGTAGCTTGTGCTGTAATACTAACCTAAAATTGGGATGTTCCAACTTCTTGTTTTACAGAATAAAGGCCTGATAATCTATTTCTATAAAATGCTATATAGTCAAGAAAACCCAATGGAGCACTTCTACTCTATAGTCCATGTGATTTCCAAGATTCTGAATGAACTCAAGACAACACGTTTTAATTTTGTTTGGAGGAGGAAGAGATCACAAATGAATGATGAGCAAAATTTTTCAGATCAGAGCTTGAGTGTAGGATAGGAAGAAGCTCGAACATGATTGTAAACCTGATGAAACCCCACTGGCACCTATAAACACACATGCTGGTGAATTGGTCCCCATGGAGCAGGAAGAATAAACAAAACAAAGTAAGCAAGAATATAATAGATTAAATGTACTTGATATTTTTCTTAGAAGACAACTTTTGAAGATTTAGTTTATATTACTTAAAGCATTAAAATGTCCTTCTTTTATGAATCATTATATGTAGAAATGTTTAAGATTATAAAATTTCTATTGTCACAGAATAAAATATAAAAGTAAAATGTAACAATAATAGAAGGGTAAATGTTATAACAGAAAATCATTTTTCCTTGAGTTTAATTTTAAAATCATGAAAATAATCAAGTCATTGCAATAAAGTACAATAACAATAGGTTAGCAGGGCAGCATCTTTTGTAATTGCTTAGGGGATACAATAGCACAACCTTGCTATGTGAATATCCAAGACACAAGGACTCTCTTTAAAGTTCAAATTCATTCAATCCAATTCTCTCTTCTATCTCTTATATTAAGGCCAACATTGAATATTAACAATTTTTATTAGCTATGACCCTCATTTTTCAAATACTAAAGCCTGCTAATGTAAAATGCTTCCAAATGTGATATTTATTTTGTAACTTATTCATAAAAGTTATGCAGTTGAAATTACAGCAGGTTTAATAAATGATATAAACCTGTATCATTCTTATAGTGAGTTAAGAGTTTATATTCTTCACCACTTAAATTTTAAAATTTTGCAGTATTATCTAAAAGCATACTTGTAATGATTTGTTTGGACAATGCAAAATAAACTTTAAAGAGGTACTGTTTCCAATATGAATAACCAGTTGGATGAATAATTTTAAAAAAGATGAAGAAGACATTTTTAGTTTTTGTGAGAGCCAAATGTCTTGCCACAGAATTCATAGCTGGTTTGGTCTCATCTTATTAAAACTTTTTTCCTAAACTTCAGGTTTGGCTCCTCCTTTACACCTGTTTGCCAGATTAAAATAATCAGGAAATTATCAGGAAAACTATCCAGATTTACTGGACTAGTTGAGGTTGGATGAGTACCTAAAACTATTGACCTGAGATACTCATTAAACTTTGAATCAAGATAATCCCTTTTAGCTAAGTGCAGGTTAGCTTATAAAATAAATAATGTTACCCTTGAGTGCTAAACTTCATTAAAAAACCATACATATGAGTTCAAATGGCTAACAATTATTCTAAAGCATAGATGAGAATGTTGAGGGATCAGTGAGAGTAGATTATTAGGGACAGAACAATCAGAATGGAAGGAGAATGCTGACACAATTATGCAACCAAAGGATGTGACCAATGTCACTGAACAATATGTGTAGAAATTATTGAATGGGAACCTGTTTTGCTGCATAATCTCACCAAAAATATAAGATGTATTTTTTAAATAATCAGAAATTTAACAAAAAACTTCTCTTTTTGTCTTTATCAGAAATTATTGGAGAAGGATATAGAAGTACATTAGATTAGACCGCTTTTCTTCAGGTGACTATAATATACCTGAGACTATAAAATTAATGAAAATAGACACCTCTAAATGCCAAGTCCAGAGCAATGACCATGAATGCTCTCGACTTTCAGGAAGGGTAAATCAGTATGGCTGAGAACACTGGACTTCAAGAATGAATGGTTTCATAGAAGAACAGAATAGAAGAGAGACAGAGAGAAAAAAAAAAAAAAGATTCTGATTTAATGATGATTCCAGTATATTTTGGGAGTGTGGTGACTCCATAAGATAAGCACTGGACTGCGAACCACAAGATCAGCAGGTAGAGCCCTCTAGCCATTTTGTGAGAGAAAGATGAGGCTTTTTACTCTTGAAAAGATTTAAAGCCTAAGAAACACTGTACAGGGTCACTATGAGTCATAACTGACTCAACAACACTTAACAACAATAACAACAACAACAGCATATTTGAAGCAAACCTTTGTTAAGAACAAATGGAATATTTTTCTTAATAAATCCTGTTCAATTTAGAAATAGAAATTCATTCATCCTTTTTTCCCTGAAGTGCAATGAATTGCTTTTATAAAGCCTTTCTCACCATGGTTTTGTAACTCCCACAAAATGACTGGCTGGAATTAAGCATATAATGTTCATAAAACTCAGTCAGGACAATGCAAATGAGGTGACTGAGGTATACTAAGGGACTAGTCAATTTTGATTAAGCACTGGACAGCAAAGTAAGTTTGAACTATAATGTCGGTGGTTGAAACCCATGAACTGCTCCTCAGAAACCCTATATATGGTCGCTATCAGTTGGAACAAATTTGACAGCACTTTACAGCTACAAGTCATAAAAGAGTTAATCCCTCTAAAGTGAGGAGGCAGGGCAGCCTCACTACTATCAAGAATTATCTGGAACAGATTTGTCCTTTGGACCAAGGATCTCTGATCCTTGGTCTCTTGTGCCTCTGCCCTGGTTTGACACTATTACAAAGCTCTTTTAGGGGTTTTCATAAATGCCCACAGAAAACACCTTAAACTTCAGCCTAAAGATACTTAGTTCTTTTTCTGTGGACCAGAAAACCTAACTCCCCTAATCAAGTGCTTGGAGGTGCTCTACTCTGTAAGCAAGCCTCCTGCCCAAAGTCACTCAGCTTAATTTCTCAGTGGGCTGGGAAGCCTGCTGTTCTGTCTTGTGTTCTGTCCCTTGGTTTTTCTATGGCTACTCCTCTGCTGCTCTTTTGGCATCACAGCATTCTGTCCCTGAGTTGAGAAGATTCAATATGCAGGGATATTGGGATCCTTAGGATGGGCTCCACTCCTGGATCTTCCTTATAGGTAGTGAGATTACCCCCTCATGCTTCTTAGATGGCTCATTTATACACACATAAGTGTTTCAAGTTTTTACTGTCACAATTAGCCCTGTTAGCAGTCATTCACAATTGAATCATATAATCCATCAGTATCTTTCCCATCTTCTCTTAACCAGTCTTTTTTTTTATGTTTTTATTTTGCATTGAGTGAAAGTTTACAGGGCACATCATCAGCTTCACATTCAACCATTCATATAGCTTGTTTCATTACATTGATTATTATCCCCTCCATATATCATCAGTTTACAGTGTTTCTTTCTATCCTCTTTAGCTTTCTTTTTTTTTTTGGATGGGGGGGACTCTTAACCAGTCTTACCAGGAAAATGTCGTTTAATGGAAGTCTACAAAGACTATGGCTACAAGAGACATTAAATAACTGACCACAGTTATTAAAGAAATAAAAAATAAATTATTATATATGGTTTTGATGTGTAAAATAGGTTAGATTTTTAATAGTTTACAAGTTTTGTTCTTCACTCTCCTACTACTTGCCATGTGACCTTATATTTCTAACCAATAGTTTCTTAATTAATAAAAAGTATATTGAACTACACCATCACTAAGGGTCCTCTATGTTTTAAAATATTTGTACTCTTTTATATGCCTTTCCAAGTATTAGACACTCTAGCATTATTGTTTAAATTCTTGTATGAGATGTTGAATAATAGCTTTTAATAGAATACTTACATTTTGGCCCACTTGTCTAGTTCTTCTTCCAGATATGTTTTAACCATTTTTGGTTGAAGGCCAAGAGAATTTCCCAAGAAATAGATGGCATTTTCATCCTTATTCACTAGCGATAAATCAACTGAAACAGAAAAAAAATGTAAAAATTGCTTATTCAATTAATTAACATTCTTCCATTTGGCATTGTTAATTCAGTGCAAACAATTAATATAATTAACTCCAAGAAGGATAATAAATAACTTACTATTCCTCTCAAGGATAACATCAAGTTCTCTGAAAAATAATTAACCTTTTACATTTATATTTTGAAATACAATTTAAGTCTAGAGAGGCTATTGTTGAGATCTCTCATAATTATTATACTCCCTGAGGAAATCTAAATTAACAAACACTTTCAGTAATTAATAGCCAAAGGCAATAGTAAAGTGGTTAAAAACAGTTTTTACAAAAAAAATATTCAGCCTATCTAATTGTATTAAAAGTACAATTAGGTAAGTACTTATCCTCTGTATTGTTGTTCAATGCTGTCCAGTCAGTTCCAACACATATTGACTCTGTATTAAATTCCAACCCTTTGTGTTAATTGGTTTTATATGAGTAAATGTGGCATATTTTAAAAGTCTAAAATAGTATTTACATATATGAAGTAGATATGCTGGATTTATACATATATTAACTTTATATATCTACATATAAACTAGATGAATCCACACAATAAGCACTGGACTGAGAACTAACAGGTCATAGTTCGAGATGAGAGTTTCTGCTGCCACAAAGATTTCCAGGCTCAGAAACCCTACACAGGGTCGCTATGAGTCAGAAACAACTTGATGGCACTTAATAACAACAACAACAATTTATAAGATAAGGTCAGCAGCTCAAGCCATCAGCCGCTCTTTGAAAATCCTACACAGGTTTGCTATGAGTTTGAACTGACTACACAGCACTTAACAAAAAGAAACATATAAGAAGGTTTGGTGGCCCAGGGGTAAGGTCACTTGGCTGCTAGCCAAAAGGTCAATAGCATAGAACCCACCAGCCACTCCTCAGGAGAAAGATGAGGCATTCTATTTCCATAAAGATTTATAGCCTCAAAAACCCTATGAAGCAGTTCTACTCTGTCCTCTGTTGTTGTTGTTAAATGTCATTGAATCAGTTCTGACTTACAGAAACTCTGTATAGGGATTCTAAGTAGTAGGGGCTGGTGGGTTTGTACTGCTGACCTTGAGATTATCAGTCTAGTACTTACCTACAGAATCACACCAGAACTCTCTCCTATTGGTTCACTATAAGTTGGAATTGACTCAAAAGCAACTGGTTTATTTTGGGTGTTTGTATACACATAGACAAGTTCCTAAGGAGCTCTGGTAGTGAGCGTAGTGGTTACAAATCGGGATGTGAGCCTCAAGGCCAGCAGTTCGAAACTACCAGCTGTTCTGTGGGAGAAAGATGAAGCTTTCTGCTTCTGTAAAGATTTACAGCCTCAGAAACCCTGTACAGACAGAGTTGCTATGAGATAGAACCGACTCCATGGCACATAACCACCAACCACCATACAAGTTCCTAAATGGTATACATAATTTGTGGTAACTGTCAACCTGAAGTTTGGAGATATCAATCCAGTGGTACCACAGGAAAAAATACCTGCTGATCCACTTTGGTTAAGATTACAGCCAAGAAAATCCTATTTCTAAATTGTATTTTTAAAATTACAATGTATTTCCACATTGTAATATTTGTAGCCATGATAAGCACATATCAACTAGACAGCAACTAACAATACCAACAATAATGTACACATATATGTCTACTATTAAAGCCTGTATGTAGTTATTGTTAGCTGTCATCAAGTCTTTCTGGACTCACAGAGACTCTATGTACAGCAGACCAAAATACTGTCCAGTCTTGGTCTATTCTCACAATTGTTGCTACGTTTGAATCTATTGTTCCTTTTCTTGCTAACCTTTGACTTTATCTAGCACGAGGCCCTTCTCCAGGGACTGGTCCCTCCTGATAACATATCCAAAGTAAGTAAAAGGAAGTCTTGCTATCCTCACTTCTAAGGAGCATTCTGGTTGTACTTGTTCCAACACAGATTTGCTTGTTCTTCTGTAAGTCCTTAACATTTGATAATCTTTACTGGCATCATAATTCAAATGCCCTTATTTTTCTTGAGTCTTCCTTATTCATTGTCAAACTTTCACATGCACATGAGGTGATTAAAACTGCCATTGCTTGGGACAGGTGCACCTTGGTCTTCAAAGTGACATCTTTGCTCTTTAACAATTTAAAGAGGTCTTTTGCAGCAGATTTGCTTAATGCAATATGTCATTTGATTTCTTGACTGCTGCTTCCATGGGTATTGGTTGTGGATTCAAATACAATGAGATCCTTGACAACTTCGGTCTTTTCTATATATCTATTTTTCATTCAAATAAAACATAAATTTGTTGATTTATCTTACAGTTCATTCTCCTGATTGCAAACAAATGCAATTTCATTAACAAACCAATCTATAAAAGTATGACATAATCCAGAAATACACAAGTTTATATTTTTGTTTTACTGAATTTTCAATTAGTTTATGGAAGAAAAAACACAAAGCTACTTGATTACATTTCATTGGAATCATTTGATAATATACTTGTCTTTACTTTAGACTTCTTAATTAAACCTGCAAAGACCTTTTAAAAACATAACATCTATTTCAACCTGATTAATTTTTTATATAATGTGGCTCTTCTTCATTGGTATCTTCTATGCCTGACCCAAGATAAGTGTTGCAAATATTGTTCACACATTTAAATTGGATTCACTAATTATTCTTTGTTGACCTACAGAACAAATGACAGCATATTGGAAGAATTTTATTTAGATTTTAGAATATTTAACCTATGGTCTATAACTCAAATTTCAGCTAAGCCTTCAAGTAAGTTCAGCTTAAAGACTGAACACGCTCTCTGTGTGTCAGCCCCATCAATGACCTATGATGAGGAAGCAGCCACCCAGATGGTGACTCTCATTGTCCTGTCTTGTTCTTTCATTGCAAATGCTTGTAGTGACAACTAGGTAGTATGTGGTTCTCATTTAGAAAGTTGTTTTTAAAATGCTGTTCATTGTGAAAGAAAGTAGAACTACTACCTAATTACTATATCCCATTCCAGTCAAAAGCACTACTCTTCCAGTCAAAAGACATACATGTCTTTTCTTGGTTACATTACTTGTTTTGTAAGTTTCAAATCATACCATCAGGCATTATGTAAGTATTCAATGAATTCTGTATAAAGTGGTTGGACCTGTGCTGTGGCAAAGTGCTGTTGAGTCAGTTCTGACTCACAGTAACCCTATATAGGATTTCCATGAAGCAGCTGGTGGGTTTGAACTGTTGTCCTACAGTGCCACATCAGGACTCAAAAATATATATTTTGTAAAAGACTTGAAAGGATGAAAAGACGATCCCTGGTCTTCACCCCAATCCCATGTGATCTATGCAATATGAAAGACAAGTAGGATGTTAAACATTGGAGCCTATGCTTCTCTTGTGACAGCAAAATGACAATAAAGTTTGTTACTTGTAAATGTCTACAGTCTTGTCAGCATAGAGCTTCAACAAAGAACAGAGAAAGGATTCTAATGACTATAAGTAAAACATGAGAACCAACTTTTTGGATTTGTTGTTAAGTACCATCGAGTCAGTTCCAACCCATAGCAACCCTGTATAGGGTTTCCAAGGAGCAGCTGGTGAGCTTGAACCACTGACCTTGCAGTTCAAACAGCTTTGCAGTCTGGTGCACTAACCCACAGTGCCATACCAGTCCTTTTATATTACTTTATCCGTTCTCACATAGCCATATGGCCTGGAACAAAGTAGAAATAAACCAGCTCAAAAGGGAAGGAAATTTCCCAAATAAAGAAGCCAAGATCTTCCATCATATCTGTTGTCAATTTTCATTCCATTTTTTTTTAAATGAAGAACTATAATTTTTTACTTCTTATTTATGTTCATGAGGAACTTGTATATAGACCAAAAGGTAATCTTTCAAACAGTACAAGGAGATACTGGAAGGCTTAACATTGGGAAAGGTGTACATTAGGGTTGTATCATTCCATCATATCTATTCAATCTGTAGGTTGAGCAAATAATCTGAGAAGCTGGATTATATGAAGAAGTATGTGGTATTAGGATTGGAAGAATACTTATCAATCACCTGTGATATGCAAATGACATGACCTTGCTTGCTGAAAGCAAAGAGGACTTGAAATACTTATTGATGAAGATCAAAGACTACAGACCTTAGTATAGATTACACTTCAATGTAAAGAAAATAAAATTCCTTATAACTGTACCAATAAATAAAATTATGATAAATGAAGACAAGATTGAAATTGTCAAACATTTCATTTCCATTGGATCCACCAATAAAGCTCTTGGAAGCAGCAGTGAGGAAACCAAATGATACATTGCAAGAGGGAAATCTATGGAAAAAGATCACTTTAAATTGTTAAAAAACAGAGATGATGTCACTTTGAGGACTGAGGTGTGCTTGATCTAGCCATGATATTTTCAGTCACTTCATACCTATGAAAGTTAGACAATGTATAAGGAAGGCCATAGCAGAATCCACACATCTGAATTATGGAATTGGCAAAGAATATTTTAAGTACCATGGGCTTCCAAAAAAACAAATAAATCTGTCTTTGAAGAAGTTCCACTCGAATGCTCCCTAGAAATAACTATGGCTAGATTTAGTCTCTTGTTTTTTGGACACATTAGCAGGAAGTACCAGCTCCCGGAGAAGGGCAGTGCTTGGTTAAGTGGAAGGTCAGCAAAAAAACAAAAGAAAACAAAGGAAGACTCCCCAACCCACCCAAAGATGGACTGACATTGTAGCAGCAACAATTGGTTTAAATGTATAAACAATTGAGAGGATGTTGCAGGTCTGGGCAGTGTTTTGTTCGGTTGTGCATAGGTTTGCTATGAGTCGGAACTGACTCAATGACACCTAACAGCAACAACAACATCATGATGAAAGAGCAAACTATATCCACTGCTATAATACAACCATTATGAGACTATTAGTAAAACTGAATCTTTAACTGCAATTTAAAAATGTTCCTCTT